TCAAGATGCCTCTGACGGCCCCAATTTACCATTCACACCTTCCTTAGAGGGGAAAGGCCAAGTGTAAAGAGCTGTCTTAGGAACAGAATACAGGCAAAGGTTATCATTTCTCACTCCTCCAGTACCACCTGTTCCTGCGGAGTTTCATAGCAAACCTGTAGTTTGAGAAGGAAGAGGGAAGTATGCAAGTAATAAAATTGATTAAATATCAGATCACAGCTCAAAATCCGTTTTTGTCTGTCTTTGTTCTCCAGCATTTCCAGATAAGCATTTTATGATGACTGATTTCCAATTAGATATGTTATCCATAATGTCATAGGGAAATGTAGACAGAAAACAATAAAGCTTTTTTCTGAAAGGTTACATTCAAACTGTCTTACATATTTACAAATCCATATGGCTTCATAAATATGTGCAGTGTATGCAGTTCCAGAAAAACATCTAAACTGCACACACTGCAACCCTTGTATAACACTACAGATTTGTCCATGCTGCCAAAGATTTACAAGAAGATTTTGTTTACAACAGCAGAGAACTGTCCAATGCTTTTATTATTTTGCCTGCTACTCTGAAGCACTTAGCAATCTTTCCACTCAGCATGTTAATTATGGAAGATGCTTTTTGTATTACATGATTTATTTAAAGCCTGTTCAATCTTGTGAAGCATCACATAACCATTTATTCTTCTCCTTAGCATCTTGGTCACTAATAGCAATTTTACAGTACACTATGCCAAATAAATATACTTTGATACCTTAATCAAGCATTTAGGAAGCTGCTTACAAAGACTCAATGCACAGCAGCATCTCTGCAGTTAAAGGTCAAATACAATTTCCATTTTGACCCCATCTTAGCATGCACAAAACCAAAACCATACATGTATATGCTAGGGTTAAAAATCTGAATTCTAGCCTTTTTTTTTTTTTTTTAAGCTAATTATTTTTCCCAACTTTGAAAAGATTTGATTTGGCCATGCTTATACATTCCCCCCCCCCCCCCCCCCCCCTTCACAACAAAAACACATTTTTAGTGTTTTCAGATGTTGAGATCTTTTATGCTAGCTAAAGACACTAATTTGAGTAGAAGGAACCAGCCATCAGCCAAAGTCCAGTCTTTTGAAGATAATACAGCTACGTGACAATATCTGGCAGTTGGCCGTGGAAAAGTCAGGATCGGTCGGTGTCTTATATCCTGCCTCATTTTTCACATAAATGTGTGACATACATCTGGCTCTGGAAGAAATCTCAGTTCATCTTTTAGGCCCACCAGTATACCTCTTTCTTCTTGATACTTTTTGCATATTAAATTTCATAATAATTTTATCTTAAAATCATACACGGGGTTAATAGCAAAGCATACAGCTGAAATGCTGAAATCCAAAACTAAATTTGGGTGTAACACATTGTGCCAGTATAGCACTGTGTTTCTATGGGCATATGCATGCTACTTCAAACCATAAAAAACAAAACCAGAGGATCAAAGTCAGACCTTTTACAGTTAACTATTAGGAAAAAACTGCAGAGGAAAACTACAAAAAAAGAACCACAGTTTCTGAAACATTCCATACACCAACAGGCACAGGTGTTGTTCTAAAATTGTTACCGTGCTACTGGCAAGAAGGGCAGACTACCAAAATTTACAGCTGGCACTTTCAAGATTTAGCAGAACATTTCCATAGCTTCTAAACACTTATTGAACAGATGCATGTATCTCCCCTGCAAAGTCTATCATTCAACTTCAATTAGTAGTATTTTTTGGAAAGAAGCACTTCAGAGCTAAATGAAAGGCGATAGCTAGAGAAGCCTGGGAGAAGCTGACAAGCCTGAGAGAAAGCATACTGAAGTCCTTCTGTCACCTCAGACATACAAGTCGCATGGACACATAGGCTCTACGAGCTTTACAGTATTACACTGCACAAGAGCCCTGTTGGTTTGTCTGCAGCTGAACAACAGGCAACAAGTAGAAGGTAGTAAGCTGTATGCACCGATTATATCTATTCATGTTGTCTCTTAACTGCCTGACTTTTTGTGGTCAGCTACCTCACCACTAATCTTTATGTTTCAGAATAAAACTATAGAAACTTATTGGAATAAAACCACTAGAAACATTTCTGGGTTTCCACTGTGGTGAGTACTGCTGATCATTCTCAAGAATTCTGAATCTTAGGACTCAGCAGAACAACTTATACTAAACCCACTGAATTTTGCTAAGAGGCAATGGTTTAAATTCCTGCATATTTGGAAAGCTGAGTACATGTATGCCAAAGTAAGAAGTGGCTTCTACCTTACGCATCGCTTCATTTCTCAACTTTGAACTGTCTGCCATTTTAACGTACCTTGCATTATGTGCTGCCTTCAACTGATATCGCCAAACTTTATTAAGCTAATACACAATTTTGATGATACTCTGCCCTATATCTAGATAATGCCTTTAGGTGCTCCATTGGTATTGTGATCATTAATCCCACCCACAAAAAAAAAAAAAAGTATCAGACCCCAAATAGCTAGAGAGCCACCATCATGGTGCTTTTGGCAGCAGTGGCTAAGAGCTGTACAAACATTTTATTTAAAATTTACTTAGACTGTTATGCAGGACATTTCAAACAAAATTCTGCTCATTTACTCAGTTAATAATGACAGATTTGCTTCACTATCCAGACAAGTGAAAATATATTGAACTAAAATAATATTCACCTAAGGTTATGCCCTTTAAATGATTACCATGGGGCAGGGAGTGAACAATATACTTCCACTGTTACTTTGAATGAAAGACCTTTATATATGGTATTTTGCCAGGAACAGAAATTACTCCTGTTTTTTAAAGCCTGACCAAATGCAGCTGCTTTGTTTAAAAAGTTAATGATTACTTTTGCATCCACTTCAATAGATCAAAAAAGAACATTATTCCAAAATCGAAGCAATATAAGCAATTTTTATTTGTTATTTGAAAGAAATTAAATGGAAAAAAGCCAGTTTTTTAAAATTCAACCAGCATACTTTCTTCATTAACATTTTGCAATGTTTGACAATACTTAATAAAATAGCTTTAATATTACCTAAAATGTTGCAATTTAGCCTTTATAAGTTACGCCAAACTTTCCACAGTTCATTCTCCAAAGCCTACTGACTCATAACAAAAAAAACCCAGATTTATAGTTTTGTCCTAAAAATGATTTAAGCTAAAATACCAAAAAGTTGCAAGTTTCCAGGCCTCCCTTTCATACTACATTAATTTAGGAAATATTTTAATGACAGGCAACCCTAAAAGAGAAGCAGAGATGCAGTATGTTTAACAGGCCACATTAAGAGTTCGCACAGGAAAAAAAGTATGACTTTCAAACATCACATACTTAGAGATACTATTAAAGGTATCATATTTCCTAACTTCTGGTTTCACAGAATACATTTTCATTTGCTAACAGAGCAGGCTGTACAGAACAACAACACACTAAGACAACACTTGAGTATCATTTCTGGTTACTAATAGCTAGCCCTTCTCCCAGATTTTTTTCAAGACTCATTTTGTAGTTTAACTAAATCTGCCTTTACCTAAATAGAGATATGAGAAAGATTTATTTTTATATATACATATACACACACACATATATATATAAAATGAGCTTCAAACTAGTTAGGATACTGAGTCTCAAAGATGAGATATAACATGAAAAAATTTTTTTCTACAGTGTCAGACTATGCTTAGTTTCAGAAAATTAAGCTGCTTATTATTTTTTACTTCCCCAGAAATAAATCAGCTATGGCAAAACTCTCATCCTGAAAGTGCTTTCTAATTGAACATAGGTAAAAATGGGTTATAATCAGAATTTAAAATTCATCTCCCTTATTGCCATAAATGGAGCTTTGTAATTCAAGACAAAAATCCCAAGTAAATTAATTTTAAAAGTTCAACACACTAGTTAGAGAACTTAAATGCAAATCTAATCCTAAAATCACCTGAAACAGTTTTAGTACAGCATATGCTCAATACTCCAGACTTCTCTTGAACAACTGCTAGTGGAAACTTAATTCTTAAAAGCTGCTTTAGAAAATATCAATGAGAAAATACCAAGTCCTACCACAAATGCCTTGCAGATAACAGAGTTAACAATCAAGCACAAAACCCCCTGCTTCTCCATTTAACAAACAGGCATTCCAAACCAGCACACGATTTCGTTCTAGTCAACTACCTCTAACAAAGAATAATTCCCAGAAGTATTTCAGTATCACAGAGATTTTGTTCTTCTCCCATCATAAGCAGACAGAATTAACCTAGCTTCATGATAACACTAAACAGTACACCGAACTAAGAGTAGCAATTGGATATAGCATTACTTTTTTACTTTTTGATATTTATGTTTATACTTTTGCAGGGCCAGTAGCTTTCTACAAATCAGATTCCGGATTAAGAGACCTCTTACAGTCATCATTTTAAACAAAAATAAATTCAATTGGTATCCAAAGCAGAGGAAATCTACATTCTTTTCTCCACCAAGTCTTGTGTGATACCCTGGAATCCACTGGTATCAGTGGCATTATGCAACTTTGAAGGAAATTAAGCTAATCAGAAAATTAAGTCTAAAGGCAGTTTTAGAAATACTGTGGTTCTCAAAGGAGACAAATGCAACTTCCATTAGCATAGATTTATGTATCTATATAAAAATACAAATATTTTATATATATAAAATAATATGAAATTATTATAAACAAATCTTTTTTCACCTACATTTCAATTTTAGAGTTGCTCAGATAATGTCCTTTTGATAATGTTAAGAATCCAGTGTCACCGACAGTTCTATTTTCTTGGCAAGCAATTGTACATTTTATTTCAAGTATTAGCTATCATACAATATAAATTCAACTGTGAGCATACTTTTATTTAGGCAGGTACCCATCTCTTTTTCTCAAAGTAAGTTAATTTTATGATCATGAAATATTATGAATGACCATTAACAATGAGGTAGAAAAACTGCAGATTTTCCATAGGTATGTAGAGATACTTACAGCCGTTCAAGTTGTTTTAGATCCTGAAATGCTCCACGTTCTATCACACTAATCTGATTTTCTTCCAAGTGTCTGCAATTCCAGAAATACCAATTAATTTTATGACAACAGAATAAAAAAGCTTCCCCACTTCTCTTCACGCATGCTACAAAACTGCTTTTCACAGAAGTACAGTTATAATTAGAGATTATTTAAAAAAAATCTGGACAGAGCAGCACTCTTGGTCGCTAACAGGGAACCAATTCAAAAACTGCCTCCTGACTGCCGGATTTGGTAAACATTTTTTTTCCTAAACTTTTATAACCATAAGCATTATGCTCAGAAAGATGTCAGTCTAGAGGCTGATTGTTACATCCTTGGTATATTACTATTATATAGTTTGTGTAATGTAATTGAGATAACTGACTCCTACAGCCCACAGCAGGAACCCACATAGATTTTTTGTCCAGCCTTTATGTTCTGCAAAGATTTCAGGCTTGCCCCAGGGTAAACCACTTGCAAGTAATCCAAAGGGGTTCAATCCCTCCAGAACTACAGCCATGGCCAATATGTGTGACACCTGTACACAGCCTCGCTGTACAACAGGGAGCAAAAATGCAAGGGAAAAGTCCCAGGTTTCCACTGTGTCTGACCCTGCTTTTCTTCACCCCCTGAGACTGAGACAAGGATAAATTGTAAGCAGTGGAGACTGACTTCTCTTTGATTTACAGTGTGTAGGAAATGACTATTCATTTACACAGCAGAAATACTCTTTATAGGTAAAGTGGAAGCCAAGGAAGAGAGATACCAATAGTCCCATTTAAGCTGAACTTTTTCGTCTCTTAGTGCTGCCTTCCAGCACACACCCATTTTCTGCTTCTGTAAGAGCACTTAGATGCACGGACTAAACCTCTGTGCTCTCTGAACATTTTATGTGGCTTTAGCTAAAACACAGAAAGGAAGAACTTAACATATAGTAAGTCTGGGCTAGGCCAAGACTTACTAGTGAAAAAGCACTCTTCTTGCCTGTTCTCAACAGCCACTCCTCTGCACTCAATCCTATGGAGATGCTCAGACCTGTTCAACTGGATAGCAGTTGAGAAGACAGACAGCAAGAGAGTATTCCACAGCTAAGACCACATATGAAGATCAAAAAATAAAATTAAAAAAAAAACCAAACAAACAAACATGTGAACCAGAGAGGCATGTTCCTAAAAGGAGGGGAAGGAAAAACTGCATGAAGAAAGGGATATAAAGATGAAGTTATAAGGGATAAAAGGAAAAGGTGCACAACAGAATATTTTGCATGTGTGTTGTCAGCTTGAGACTGGAAGTTTTTTTCTGTTGTACTGTTCTACCAGTTTCTGGATCACTTGTTGTTGTCCTCATTCTGATGTCTGAAAATAGGACTAGACTACCTTTCTAAGAACTCTGGGACAAGTTTCATGTTTCTGTGCTTCCCCTATACCGCCATCACACGAGGGGGAAAAAAGAGGAAAAAATAGAGTGTCAGTAATGTAGAATAGCCAGAATTATGAAAAGACCATAAGAGAAAGAAAAGAAAAAATAAGAAAAAAATCTGAAGGACTTCTAGAGAGCAAAAGTACACAAAGTAAAAAAAACTGCACAAAGTAAAATAAGAAAAACCACAAACGCATACCAGATATGACAGGAACATGTAGAATAGGGAAATACACAACAATGAAGAAAAATGGGTAGTTAGCAGACAATGGAACGGCATGTCTTGGGATTCAAATGGTTTTAATACATTGGAAGACAAAATCAATATAAAAAAATATGTATTTTTAATAGGTGTATTGTGGTTTTTTTCCTAATGACTTCTGCGGCAACCACCACACTACTCAAAGGCTGAACAAATGTGTTACGTAAATCTGTAATGAACACAGAACAAAAAATTCACATAAAGATGGCAGTTGCATATTTTGCTTATCGTTAAGGACATTCAGTATAAATTACTATAGTGGCATTCGGCAATGTCTGACACCATACAAAACCTACCAAACCAAAACAACTACTGACATTAGTAATAGTATAGTACATGTATTTTAATAGACTTCCAAAATGGTGTTGACAGCTGGGATGAGAGCCAAGGAAATCTAAATGACTCCACTGCTAGAGATGAGAAACACCACAGGAACGAAAAGTCCTCCAATACACTTGAAATATTTTCTTAGTATATCATAACTTGTTCAAAAGTGTTAAGGTAACAGGACAAAAGATTTGTCTTATCATTGGCAGGATTCTATTAATTCATTGATTGAATTATCACTAAAAAACTGTAACACTTCAACAGTTGCAGTTTTAAGGACTTCTAAAAGAAGATACTCAGAGGAAAACACTGACTGCAGAGAGCAATGTTAAGAATTACAGAAAGGAATTTTCAAGGGGTGCTGGTGAGATTACTTGTGTGTTTCTTAACTTCTCATAGCTGTTTGTTTCAGAAGAAGAGGTTAACAGAGTGGTAAAACCCAGCTGCCTCTGTCAGTGCTGGGACCAACTCAAGATCAGGTTTTTGTCTTGGTCACTACAACTTGGAATTAGGCGTAACAGTTTAGTAAAATACTGCTAGTGAACTAGATGGCACACACACGGAGAATGCAGTCACTATTATGTAAATGGCTCTTGATAAACAGAAAAAAAAAGATTTGATATCTAGTTAAGTAAAATTAGAAATTTGAACTTTATCCATTGGTTACTGTTAACATAAATAAATACCTTTCACGTTTCAGAAACACTTTCAGTAAAAACATCTCCACCACTGCTTTTAAACATACAGCTCTACACACATGCATATATGATCTTCCCCATAACATAGCAATGTTTCTCACCGAGAAACTTGCAAAGTTGCATTGCTACAGCAGCACTCAGTGCCCAAATACAAGCCCAGTGAAGGCAGAAATGAACGGTTACATTAAATGAGAGCTCCAGAAACACTAAGAACCTAAGAGCTTAGCCTCAGTTACATTCAAAACTATTTTGTTTCTCTTATCTGGCTTCCCCTGCCCCACCCCATACATGCCCAAATATTTAAAGCTATATATTTTATTTTACATATAAAAATAATGTAATTAACTTAATTTCCACAAAGCAAATACCAGATCCCCACAGTATTTATGGCAGAGGCATCAGTATCTATGTCTGCTTCCATCTACGTTGATGTGAAGAGGATCTAAACTACTTGATGTAATTCAGAAAAACTGTTAGAGAAATGTCAAGGGGAAAAATGAATTCACTTTAAATAGAAAGAACCTCCAACTTTTCCTGAAAGGACTGAAACAGCTTCAAAATCTATTTCTTGTTCTTTTAACCCAAGATTATTTTCTTAAGAAAAAAAGGTCTGTGTGTAACTACAATAAATGTCTATGAAGTAGCCCTAATTTTCATCACTAAATTAGTGGGGCCATTTGAGGTTCATAGAAGACAAAATAGGAAATCAGGAAGGACAAATTCTGTAGACTGATGTTTCCCCTTTTGATGTTCAAGGTTCATTTAGAAGTACAGTTAAGCTCTTGACTGATACTTTCAGATCAAGAGACAGCACCAACTAAAATTTATTTATTACTTCACATTAGACTAGAAAACAAATCACAGACTTCCTTGTATACAACTTCTACTGCTACCTTAATCAAGTTCTGCTTTATCTTCTGCAAAAGTGCTATTAATGGGACTGTACCTTAAAGTGACCAAAATCTGAAAGTCCTATTTGCTAATGTTTCAGTATAATTGACTTATACATAAGTGATTGTAAAGTGGACCAAATTTTTTACCACAGTATTTCTTAAAATCCAGTAAACACAAACAATTAAATAGCTCTGAAACTGCATTCAGACTTTAGCATGGAACTAAAATTTACTGTTTCATATCACAAACTCTTCCAGTTGCCTGGTTTAAAAGAAAACTAATAACGGAATAAAGTGCAGAAATTACTAGCATTTTATCTCTAGAATTATGGACATTCTTAGTCCTAGCACCCTAAAATAGTCTTGTAAAGAAAGACAAGTTTTGTGTTATACTCACAAGACACGGAGATTCTTCAGTCCTGTGAAGTCCGTCTTTGTGATTCTTGTGATATTATTTTTTTCTAGATCACTGCAGAGGAAAAAGAAACCAGAATTCAGACACTATAACTGACATCCAAAAACCCACTAGCAGAAAGTATCTCCATGAGTGGAGCACCTATCAGCTGCTCAAATTGTACAAACTAATTTTTCCATTAAAATCTCAAAAAGCAAGTCATCAATCCTGATGCATTTTGCCTCCTCCTCTCAGTACGTTGCTCTCATACAAGAAGTTTCTTCCATTTTTATTTCTAATATTCGTGCTCACTATATGCCTCTTTCTCCCTCAAGACTACAGTCTTGTAAGAGGCTAAATATATTCAAGACCCAATTGGTATAATACAGCTGAAACGGAGTACTCAGCCCCAAAATGAAGATCAAACTCTGGTGTTATCTAAACCCAAGTGAGTCTAACCTGTCACAGAAACTTAGGCTACATAGTGCTTGAGGAAAGAACAACTTACTGTAGGGACTCCTAAGTGTGGTCCTACCCAGACAATTGGAAGATTTGCGGAGTTATAGAACAGCTTATGGGGTTTTTTCAACTATCCTAATTGGGCAGCCTCCTGATCCCAGCTTTTTGGAAATGCTGGTTTTTCAGAAGATACTGTTAATCATACTGACCTGTTTCCCATGTGTGTTCACCCTTCGCCAATTCCTACCTTCTGTCTTTAAACTCTCAATTTCCTAACACCTCTGTTATGTGCCAACACATTTTCCTCGTGTGGTCACATACCAAGTATTACATTCTGCACTCTGTCTCAGTCTGTGCTAATTTATGCTCTAGATTCAAAATTAATAAGTAACTGGCATTTTTTCCACGACAGGGAAACTCCACTGTAACCAGAGCTTGAGCTGCCTGCTTTTCTGCAGCTTTACTTTGGAGTGAGCACACAAAAATACAGCAGAATTTCATGTCTAAACTTGTATCTTAATGGAATAGATATCAAAATAAAACACTAGTTTGAGACAAAATCTATTTAATTCAAAGTTGAGTCAAATTAAAAATAAATGAATTTATAAACTAATCCTTCTTGTAAGACTCATCTTATACTTAAGGATAGCTCTCAGTACACTAACTTTGGCACCTTCAGAGTCACAACAAACCAAGAGTAACTCTTCTTGTTTCCCAACATAAACAGTCTTTCTGTCATTTCATTTTAAAAGAGTATACCAAATACCTGCTGGTGCTATAGGTCCTGTGTTGCTGTTTTCTCTCCTCTAGATTTGTCTTTGCTAGGCACCTTGAAGTTCTCGTGGTTGAGCATGTCCCATTGTTTGGGGTTTGTTTGGTTAGTTTTTTTCTGTCCAGATTGTTCTACCTGACCTAGTGCTAACCAACAGGGACAAGCTAGTCTTTCTTCCTGGTCTTCAGCTGTGCTTATTTTAACGTAATAAGCAATATGCAGCAAACGTACAATTAATAACAACAGATATACTCTGCATGTCACCACAAATTTGTTCTGAGTGTCAGTTTCCTAGATACAAGAAGCCTTTTATGAAAAATAAATTTTCTAATATTGGAGTAAACTTTTTTCTTCCGAGTCACATTTTACGTCTACCAAAAGCTGCTACATATCAAAAATACAAGCCTTTGAGTTAACAGTTTTCATGCCAAAAAAAGCATTCAGTATTTTTCTAAAGATCATGAGATTGTAAACAATACATTCTGACAAATTTTGTTGTCTATTGCCATTGAACAAAAACAATCTAATATGAAAAATTAGCCATGAAGCTAGACATCTGTTTTCTAAAAGAGCATATGAGATCACAAATCCACAGCAGGAAGTAGAGGCTTTTCCTAGGCAGTCAATTTTTACTATAGTTCCTGCATTAATGTGCACTGGGATACACCTCTTTTGTATTTAGAAGGTTCAATATCTCTCCCATTTCTAGTAAAATTGAACACCAAAAAGCAAGATTACAGTATTACTTTTAAGTACATGTGGCAATCACCTGACACCTGCACAAACCTTGACCCTGAAATAATTTATGAAAATCGGATGGGTGTTCCTAAGTGCTGTTTCAAGTTGATTATAGTTCTAGGTACAAAAAGGAATTCAAGGAAGGAGTAGAAGTCAGAACTTCCAGGAACGCCTCAACTATCACGTTTGTATTATGAAAAATGCCGCATAGATGGTTGTCTAGGATGGCTTCTAAGTGCCTAGCAAGTAATACTGCAAACAAAATGTTAAAGCTCTTGAAGCATTGAGAACAGTTTAATCATTTGTAATCATTCATATACCATCCTGGGGGGGAGGGGGGCAGTACTCCTGGCTGGCACAATTTCCAGTAATTTTCTATCATACACGCAGTTCCATTCAAGCCTTCCGGTACGGCTGCTACTTAAGCCAGTCTTTTTTCACCTTACATGAGATCCTATTAGTAGGATAGAACTACTACTAAGAAATACGTGAGTGATCAAGCATAAATGATAATTTCCCTTGAATCAAGATCATTTTTTTCTGCCAATATGAAGCAATATTCTAAGGCATTAAATGAAAAGCAATTGTCATGGTAACAAGTTTCATTTTTCCAGTGTGAACCACATTTTCAATTAAAGGCAGCTACACATTTTGAAGTTTAAGCTTGTTAAAAGATACATTTTTCAATATTCAGAGAAGAAACAGGACTGATTTTTTAGTTTATCTACTAACTTCCCCAAATGCTTCTAACCATGATAACGAAGAGGTTTTTCCTAATATGAATACTATCCTCCAGTTATCAAAAATGTAAATATTTAGATGAGTACAGGTAATTGCACTCATTTATCTGAGGAAATAACTCTTCATATTCCTAAACATAGGTAATTGTTTTCTCATGTGTTCCCAAAAATCTCAGATGGAAGCAGATATGGAATTAAGCTCCTTTTAATGCCATTTTCACATGCTGGTGCATCCACTTACTGAAACTGAAAAGCTAAAGAAAAGAAAAACCCCATAAACACCAAAACAACAACGCCCACCCCCCAACACAAAAAACTAAACTCGATACAGTATGAGCCACTTTGTAACTGAGGGTAGCCTGGTACTTAGAAGTCTGCAAAGACAACGATTAAGCTCACAGTTCATACTGACAAAAATCCCAGCCTGTATATCTACAAGATTTGTACCAGGAACAAAATAGCTACAGTTTAAGATCTCCATCTTCTCCATGGCATCTTAATTTGCCACAGACAACAGGAAGAAAGAACAGATTAAGGACTATTTAAAAAAAACCACCCCAAATCCTGAAATTCAGACCAATAATTCTAAAAATTGTCCATAATGAGAATTTTTTACTGAATTCTGCCATTAAAAATAGAAGCCATATAAGCATAGAATACACAATATTTTCTGCATATCTTCTTCAAGCATTTGCATTGATCCTATAGTGAATCTTTCTAAGATATAACCAAGACATCAACAGGATTAAAGCAATAGGAGAGATACATTAGAGTGCAGAAATAAGTGTTTTATAATATTGAAATTTATTTCTGATGGTTATTGATAAATGACAGAATAATACTAATAAAATTCTTGAGTCATAAAATGATTTAAAAACAAATAGAATAAACTTTTAAGAGTTAGTTTATGAATCTTAGCACAGGACGTATTTAAGTAATAGCAGAAACACATTCTTCTGTCAGGAAACCATTTTCTTTAGCACAGATGGGAACTAAGGATAATGACAAGGAGATGAGAGGAAAAAAATCCTTACATTTCAGCTATATGAACAAGACAGACAGTATTCTTGCTTGACTTATGTCAACTATATTTTAAAAAGGTCCATTAAAGAAAAAACCCACAAAACAACTACAGCACACTTTCACTGCATGTACCAGCCATTCTCTTCCATTTGCCTTTATCCTGTTGATTGAATCATGCTTTTCTCCATGAATACCTTTGAATCACTGCCTACATTTTTTAGATTTTTCCAGCTTAATTTCCTCTTCTGTTTGCAGTTCAGTTCTTCCACCCTGGTGCATCATTAACTACCCACTGGTGCGCCAGCGTGACCCGATTGCAAGAAGCTTTGGAAAGAATTAAGTCTGGAGTAAGCAATGCATAAATAGCTCGTGTTTTCCTTGCATGTTGTTTCCCATCTGCTTTTCATGTCATTCCTTCAGAAGTTTTCCCTTGCCTGTATCTCAGAACAGGTCTAGCAAAGCACAGCATTAAGCTGGTCAGAATTCTCCAAGGCAGATGGGACTCAGCTAAGGTATACGGAGCAACACAGTGTCATTGGCCCCACTTTTTGTCCATTTTGATAAGACTTAATTCTCAGCACAGCTTTACTTGGCTTGAATGACTGTATGCAGAACTGCATTCCTGTCATACACAGCAATCTCTCCACCACACCACTCCTCCTGCCCAGTCTGTGAGACCAGTCCCACACATCAGCTCTATTCCTCTCTACTTTCAGCCTCAAGAACATTCCCGCTATTCAACATTCTTCCCCTGGTGAAATCCGCAGCTCCTTATTCTGAAAAAGACTTTAACATTCCTTGATCAATACGTATCCTGAGATTGCTTTTTCTTCTACTCCTGCAGATTGGCACAGCCGAAATTGTATACATAATACCAGTCACTCTATTAATCCCTTCTGAGGGCTAGTATCCAAGTCAAAGGTTTCCATTTCTGTAAGTAAAATTACTTGGACAATACTCTAACTTCAGGAGAACCATTCTTCATGAAGTTCACTTTCCTTAAACCATTTAGGATTTAACTGATAACTGCTGCCTCTGTCTCTGTTTTAAAAAGCAGTATTTACCTTCTGAACATTTGCCTGTTCCAGCATGCTCTCCCTCAAGGCTGATCTGCCATTTGAAGAAAAACAGACTAAAACCTTGATGAACTACTATGTAACACTTCCTCCTCCTGTTCACAGTAGGTCTAACACTGCTGCAAAGTAGCAGGTTGCCACAGGTTACCCCATTAGTCAATTAAACTTTGTGACTGTGAAGTTACTGAACTAATGCAGACATTAGTGGTTTACAGCTGGTATTTGTGGGCAACATAATATTTTATGTTTCCTTTATAAAGTTTGGCA